TGGGCCGCTCTCCCAGACTTCATGTGCCACTGCTTCTGTTTATCCATTTGTATGCTTTTATGTTTCATAAATTATTTTAGACAGAAGATGCTGAGAAACTCAGGATATTGACGTTTTTGTTGAGACTAAAATGGCCATCGGTAACATAAGGCCTCTGAAGTGTGTCTTGCATCGATGTTGGCTGTTTAGAATGTTAACTTTCTTCTTTCTACAGCACAATTCTGTTTTGCGCCTAGGATGGTGACTAGACCTGAGTCGTACCTGATCAACGTTTGTGTTGCCAGGCACCATGTGAGCACGGCCATTTCTGGCCACTTGCTGTTTCCTACTAGGACTTGCGGTAATGTAACCAGAATGTAACTCAGGTTGCCCTGGGTTCTGACTCTGCCATTCTCCCGGGCAAAAGACACCAGAGTGTCCTGCAACTCAGCAGAGCAGTTGAACAGGGCGGATTTAAGTTAGGATCAACCCCAGTGTACTAGATGGCAATATCCAGTGAAAAGGCTGGTGTTTTAAATGTCTAGCGAGATACCCACGGAAGCCTGCTGACTCGACATCGGATCGATGTTTGATTAATTTCATTGGAGATGCAGTTAGGTTGCTTGAATCGCTAAACACCTGTCACAGGTGTTACATTTTCATCCTGATTTCCAGAAAAAACCAAACAGTCTTTCAGAAGTGGGTATCCTCATGAAATTGATGGTTCCCAGTGGTAAGAGTGAACTGTTGACAAAAGCTGAGGCAAAGTCAGGAGTGTATGCTCAACATTTTAGGTCAGAACAAGACTGGAACTTTTAGAAAAACTGACTCAGATTTTCCTGTTAACTATTTAAATCAAACCTTTAGCCCAAATGAGCGATTATGCATACAAGGAAAATGTTAACCCTTGTCTTGACTGTCTACCAAAGTGATGGAAAAATGACAGTCTTAGTTTGTTGGATTTTCAGTGTAAAACTGAGGGGAAGCAGGTGGAGAGTAAGTTGTGAGCTTTGGGAACTGTAGTGATTCATAATCTTTGTCCTCTGTGTTAACCTATGAACCTGTAGGACAGGATAGGGTCGAGCTGTAGAGTAAATTTCTAGCTGCTTCCGGGTGTCCTGGGAGGGGTGACCTTGACCGCTGTGGCTGCCCTGGTGAGATGAGGCTGGCCCTTCCCTGCCTGGCCCAGCTCAGATAGTTCTAAGCAGTAGTGAGATTTTAAGATACTAAGCTATAGGTAAGATTTTAATAAAATATGACCAGATTTTTGAAATTCAAGTCATGGGTGTGAAATTCTCAAATTTACATAAAAAGTGGAAGTGCGTGCAATGTGACATTAAAAGAAGGAAAGCTGTGGCAGCTGTTGCTGTCCCTTACTCCCCACTGGAGGTCTGGAGCGTGTACCTGAACCCACGTAGCGCGTACAGTGCTTCTTGATGCCTTAGAAATAGGGAAAAAATACTTTTTTTTTTGACAAGCAAGCTAGGAAAGAGAAAGTCCATCAGACAGTTAATTAGATCTGCCTCTCAGGAAATAGTACTAACTTGTTCTTTTTGTTCCTGGCTTTCAGTTTGTGAGATTACTCTATTTTTTTAATATAATTTTATTTCTTTCAATGAATCTAAAATAAAAAAACCTTTGGAACAATGCGTGTATTTCATCGTGGGTTTCTTTATATTAGACGGCACAAGCAGCTGGAATGCAAGCAGCGTGAGGTGTGAGCTCGAGGGTGCCTGGCGGGCGTTCCCATTCCTGGGGACAGTGTCCCTTTGTGGACAGTGAAACATTCTGCTTAGGTGTATCTGACCACCTGGGCTAGTTGAAGAACTAGCGTAGAGATGGCGAGAGGTGGGCTCTGCCGAATCACAGCATCTGTGTACGGCACCGAGCGCAGAGATGCTTTCGTGCTTGCTGAGTCCAGGACGCTGACTCAAGTAGCGTGTTTCCAGGCAGCACGTCATTTAGACTCTTCACCGGTGTGGACATTTCTGCTTGTCACACCTTCCTGAAAACTCTAGTGCAGTTACCTACACACAGCACGTCCCATCTCATCTTTCTGAAATCCACTACCTTTTCTTGGGAAGTCATATAGCGACGTCATCTCTGAAGGCGCCAGGTCACTGAACACGAGTGCCCCTGGACCTTCCCTGTGCCACCTGGATGGATCCGGACTCCACAAGCACCTGACCTTGAAGAAGAACCCGAACCTACACCAGGTCTCGCTCATTACAGTGGCTGGTGCAGCCAGGTACTGTCCACGTCACTGCCTCTCAGCTCTGCCTTCTAGATGTGTCTCTGGAACATGTCGTCCGCCTAACCTCCCCGGCCCCACCCTGTGCAGAGCCATCCTGTGGCCAGCTCCTCACTGGTCTTCGTGGACCAGCTGTCACATGATCTCCAGATAGTGCCCAAGGTGAGACCCGGTTTGTGACACGACTCTCATCTTGACCATTTCCCTCCCTTTCTCCCTGTTTGTGGCTCTAAGTGTAGAATGTGACATCTCTTGCCTTCACACCCTTCCTGTGTCAGCCCCCAGCGTCTGTACTCATGGCACTTCCCGTTATCTGCGACGACACAGCTATGGGTAGTTTTTAGCGTGCTACCTCTTAGAAGACACCCGCGTGGTCATGCGAGCACGTCACCGGCGCTGAGTGACGCTCAGTTACTTATTGAATGGGCAGGCTGTCCGTGTCTGAGGGAAGCCTTTAGCACTGTGTGGCTTTTGGAAGGGTTTCTAGAAGGGTTTCTAACACAGGTTTTGCAGCTCTACAAATTCCTGCAGAGGATGGAGGAGACGTTTGCCTTTCAAAGAACTGCGGGCCTGGATTAAACGAGTGACATCTGTGCTCCTGGTGTCGCTCTTGCAGTGTTTAGTTAGTGAGGTTTAACTTTTTTTGTCCACTTGCTTGATAATCAGAAAATATGGGGAACAGGCAGTTTGGGTTTGAAATGTCTGCAGAAAGGAGAAGATGTGTGATGCACTCAGCTGTGTTCCCGCCCTTCCTCACGTAGGGATCAAACCCAGGGCCCTGCGCATTGGCGCTACCACTGGGCCACACCGCAGCTCTCAGCGCGGTTCTCAACTGAGAACAGGAACACAAATGACAGACACAGCCCGGTTGCTATTAAGGTATTATTTCCAATCAGCATTTTCGGTTGCTGTCATTTAAACAAAGCACAGAACTTACTGGGTAAACGTCGCAGGCAGTTAGGAACGGCAGGGTTCGGCGAGGATCACGGTGGGTGGCAGCTATGATTCCTGAGCACTGGCTCTCCCCACCGGAGGGCCAATCAGCAGGCTGACTCGGGGAGAGGCTGCAAGCCAGGCCCGGCTCTCGCAGGGCGTCTGGCTCTACTTGGGAGCAGAGAAAGGTGTAAAGGCCTTGTCGGAGCCTGCCATGCAGGCCTCGATCTCCTCCACGGTACGGGGCACACAGGTCAGCAGCTCCATGCCACCGTCGGTCACCACGACGTCCTCCTCGATGCGGACCTGGGCCAGACACATGCTCGTTAGGACGGAGCTGGCCTCCTGCGCCACATGACCTGATCCTACCTGCTCCAGGAGCCCACGCTGAGAAAAACCCGAGAAAAACCCCGGCAACAGCAGAAACTGGTCGCAAGGCCTCTGGGGGCTCCTGGAGGAAGGCTCCGCCCATGGCCGTGGCCTCGCCAGGTGGATGGAAGTCCCGGGGGGGGGCAGGGGTTCTGGAGAAGCTGTCTGTCTACTGAGGGTAGAGGCACCTGTCTGGTGACAGTGCATGCAAATGGGCAGGCCAGGGCCCTTCTTAAGGAAGGAAGTTGACTGTCCCTCCTCCAGTAGAGGCCTCTGTCCCGGGACAAAGGTGACTCTGGGGGTCAGGATGGGCCCACGGGCACTCACCCCGCCAAAACCGCGGAAGCGCTGCAGGACCTCACGGTTAAAGAAGCAGGCTTGGGCGGGGTCGGCCAGGGCCTGGTCCAGGAGGTGGTCGATGAAGTAGATGCCCGGCTCCACCGTGAGCACCATGCCTGGCTGCAGGTGCCGTGCCGTGCGCAGACTCCGTAGGCCTGGCTCATCGATGCGCTCCACACCCTGTGGGCAGAGGAATGGTGGCGGGACCCGGGAGACAGTCCACGGCCTTGCCGGAGGACATCAGACACAGGGCTAGCTCTGGCCTCGTGGACTCTCTGAGGATGGGGTCCACGAGACTCACCCCTGCTGTGGTGTCACGGCCACTTCTGATAAGACCCTGCCCTCTGGACCGTGAGTGTCCCTGGGCCCTGGTTACCTCCAGACTGCCTTCAGGAACGTGGTGGGCACTGAGCGCACACCCTCGGCAAGCTGCCCATGTGGGCCCATGGCTGGCTGGGTGTCCTGTTGCCCTCACCCAGACCCCTCTCCAGGCCAGGGGAATGACAGAAGCCAAAGCAGAGACGCCAAAAAAGCCCTGAAGGCAGTGGGCCTCCTGGGACTGCATCTTTCCAATGGGAATTGGCCCCAGAAGTGCCAGTTTTTCCCTGTCCCCCACGCCACCCCAGGTTTTCCAGGTTAACCCCAAGCAGGATCACTTAGACACCTGCATAGACACAGACGGGCAGTGTGGCTGCTACCGGTGTACACTGGGCCCTCGGGGACTGAGCCCCAGGGATGGCTGCTGCCTGCAGAGACCATGTCTGCCTCCTTTCCTCAGTGGACACCCAGCCGGGCCTGGCCCGAGGGCAGGTAGTTCCCAAGACACTCCCAGGAGTGTCCTTGCCTCCCCCGCGTCCCTGGGGCAAATGGCTGGCCTGCAGCCAGGGCCTCTGTGCGAGTGGGCAGCAGGCGAGCTTTCTGGTCAGGATCTGAGCCTGCCCTGCCCTGCTTGCGGCTCCCCCAGGAAGCCCAGCTGCTGGAGATGGAGCTGTCATTTCTGACTGTTTGGAAGCCAAGAACATCAGACTTCAATTAGTGGTTCACATAAGGTAACCAGAAACAGGCTGGCTTGGCCTCTGAGGCTGGGCACAGCAGGGAAGCCTGGGACTGTGATTCCAGGAGGGCGGGGACAGCCACCCCGACCTGGTGTGAACAGGCTGGGATGGAGGCGGAGAAGGGATGCCAAAGCTCTATGACCCTGATGGGTCACAGTCCTGGGCAGACACTTGGCCCCACGACACGTGCCTCAGGGCACAGGACAGGGATGGCTGGGCCAGGCTGCAGGGTGCTCCACAGAGGGTCCCGTCTGGAATGGCAGCCAGTGCCCGGTGAAAGGGCTGGGCCTATTTCCTGTCCACAGCTGCTTGTCAGGCGGGAGGTCCTGGGTCTTTGCTCCCAAAGACCTTTCCTGCTCCTGCCATCAAAAGCATATACCTACTACCTTCGTATCTCCTTCCTGTCCCTTTCCTTCGGGCTGCACTTGAATCGCCTTTCTACCCTATGGGTGTCAAAGCCAGGGCTCTGTACAAGAGGCTTTCTTTGCCACAGGCAAAGGGGCCCAGGCCAAGCTGCTCCTTGGACACGGGAGGCCCCTTGAAGTGTGGAGCGAGTCCTGCTTCCCACCATTCCAACTGTGGGGAGAACGGACGGGACCCCTGGGGACATGGAGGATATCCTGCAAAGCACTAGCTCTCAGCGTCTGCTGCAGGGTCCACCAGGACAGGACGCAGGCCTGAGTGTACTGGGGGGCTAGGGAGCCCGATGCACACAGTGGATTTGAGGAAGGTGAAGGGCTGGACCGAGTGGGGTACAAGCCTTTCTGGGGGTGCCCGTGCCCACCTCTGCCTGGGCAAAGGGCTTGATGAGGCCTTTGCCCAACTTTTACTGGGCTTCGAGCTGAAGAGACCCAGATGTGTCTGTAGGCCTGAAATAAAACAAATGACTTTTATAGGAAAAGCCGTATTTTTCTCCAGTGTTTATCTGTCAGAAGAACAGACTGAGCACAAAGGGTTGCTTACGGGAAAAGATGAAACAGCTGGCTGCCAATTTTCTTTGGTGAACTAATGAATAACGAACCTCAGCTGACAATGTTTGGAACGCCCTGGTCCTGGCTCCCGGCACACAATGGGATGGGCAGAAACTAGGAGGTTAAAACTGATTTTATGTCTCCAAATTTAACTGTTTACACTTGAGAAAAAATATAATTGAATAATAAATGCTTCTCTTGAGCAATTCCCCTGCCCCTCAAAAAATCATTCTCCGTGCTTTCAAAATACCCTGCAGCCAAAGGCCAAGTCTAGCCTTGGCTAACTGGCTGGTGGGCCCCGGGGTGTGCACGGGTTGCACAATCAGCCCCCTGCATGGTGGGCGCCAGGCCAGACCAGGCAGCAGGGACACCCCCACTCCCCCCTCACCACAAGAGCCCAGAGGGGCTGCAGCCACCTGCCTGGTAGGGCCTCCCAGGGCCCTCAGGCACCCTCTGGGTGGTCCTGAGGGATGGTGGTGAGAAGGGTAGAGGGAGCTATGTCTGGAGGTGCCCCAGAAGCCTTCCTCCCCCACTGGGGGTTCCCAAGAGTGCCTGGGCATAATCAGGCTGCAGAGCCATGGGCGCTGGCCCAGGGGCTGGGAGGCAGAGGGCACGCCAGCCAGGAGCAAGGGAAAGGGCCAAGGCAAGTCTGAGTGAAGCCAGAGGCAGGAGAACACGAGGGATGCAGGGCAGCTCCATCACAAAGAGCCAGCCACGGCCCCCAGCCCCGTGGAGACCCCCTGCTGGCCTGCAGAGGCCCATCTTCATGCCTGGTCCTGGGCGGGCAGCCACTGGAGGCGGAAGGCGCCTGCACCACCCATCTCAGCCAGGGCCCTCTCCCCGCGCACCACAGAGGGGACCCCAGCCCTCCTGTCCTGCCACAGGCTACCTCTGCAGACACGTCCACACTGACCTCAGGGTAGCCTCCCACGTCGTGCACGTCAAGGCCCAGTAAGTGGCCGAGCCCGTGAGGCATGAACACAGCTCCCAGGTGGACCTGGACCATGGCGTCCACGCCACCACTCAGGACGCCGATGCGGATCAGCTCCTCCAAGTGGACGCGGTCAGCTAGACGGTGCATGTCAGGCCACCAGACACCTGTGGTTCAATGGGAGGCTGTGGTGGGCTGGGGCTCCCCAGGCCAGGGGGACACAAACTTCACCTGGGCAGGAAGGGTGAGGGGAGGGCACCACGGGGCACACCGTGTCCTCACCCTACCTCAGGGGCAGCCCAGGTGCCCGTGCCACCTGACTGGCATGTCTTGGGGGTCGGGGGAGGCAAGCAGATCTTTGGGCCTCGTGTCCAAAATCTTCCTATCCTACTAGGCTTGACAGACTCAGGTCCAAATGCTGCCTGGGAGCTTTGGCCCAGGGTCTGCTGCTGTGGGGCCCGAGGCTGGGACGGGGCACACCCCAGAATGGCTGAGTCACCCCAGGAGCTGCTGAGGGGAGCAAAGGTTCCTAGGGTGAAGGTACAGCTGGCATGGCCTCACCCATCCGTGGGCAGGGGTCTGGAACGGTCTCCATGGTGGCCACCACGTCCAAGGCCAGACTACTAATGAAATTCATCTTTGCCCCATGCTTCTGGGGCAGAGGTCACTCTGGAGAACCTCCCTTCAGGGCCACACAGGCTTTGTGGGGCAGAGGTGGAGGCCAGAACCAGTCTTCAGTACTGCCCGGCCCATGGGGAGGTGGCCTTTGGGGCTGCTACTTCACGCTCTTGCATTCGTTCTTGGCCACCATCAGGGCCTGCCCTGCTGGTCCTGGGCTCTGGGGACCCCCTTCAGCCTGAACAGACAAGGACCCTAGGCCACAGAAGCAGCCTACCACGATCCCACGAGGCTGAGTGTGGACAGACCATGTGGCGGCTGAGGCTGGCCACGAGACCGAGATCACGGCAGTGCACTGGCTAAGGGGCAGTCGGTGCCAGTCACTGTGGTACCTCCCTGCCAAGCTCGGCCCTGCAGGGCCACGCAACCTGGAGAGCTAGGCCTGCTTCACACTTGATCACTGCCGCTACAGGAGGGGAGGGCCTGGGGCCCCTCCCCCAACCAACCATCGAGGCTCTGGGGTGAACAGGGAGGCCAGCCTGCCCAGGGACACAGGCCACCTCCCCAAGGTGGGGACCTCTGCCTGCCTGCTAGGAATGGAAACGCCATTACTAGGGCCACAGGTTGACTGGAGGTACAGGGCTTTGCGTCGACCACGGGGCTGCAACCAGGTCAGCTCATGGGTGGTGGCGGTGTCTGAACCATGGCCCAAGGGTGCAGGGAGTGGAAGGTGCCCAGAATGTCCCTAAGAGAGCCAGGAAGAGAGGAAGCAGAGAGAATTTCTCCTCGGCCTGCTCCTGACTGCAGCTCTGTCCAGTGCTCCCCAGCCTGCGAGGTGCTAGGTCAGGGAAAGCTTTCCAGGGTCTAGAATCTGCCTACCCAGCAGGCCTGGGGTGCCCTGACTATTGCTTGCTCACTTCTAGGGTTGTCCTGGCCACATACAGAGTGGGGCTTTCTCTGATGGCTGCCATTCCTGAAGTAAAGATGGGGTGCCTGGAATCCCAGCCCAGCTGCTTCCCTGCATTTCACATTCTGCCTCTGTCAAAGAGCCCACGAGGGGCTGAGGGCAGCCGCCCAAAACAGTGGCACTGCCACCTACTGACCCATCACTTACGCTATCAGAGGCAGGAGGGAAGGGCCACACTTTGGAAGTGCAAGCCAGGTCCACACCACTTCCTGCTGCTGTTCTTCCCAGACATCCCAGTGGCCTCATCTGTCCCCTCCCCACCCACAGGCCTTTCCAAAGGCCAGGCTGCCTTTCTGCTCCACAAGTGCACCCAGGCCTTTCCATGGCAGACCCGTGCCTTGATCACATTCAAAGTCACCTCCCTGGAAGAGGCCCTCTGCTGTCTCCATCGCTTCTTCTCCCACCTTTCATCCTGTAACTGCCCTCCCTTCCTCGCTTCTCATACCTCCCTACCAGAATATTGGTGTCCCAAGTGGGGGAGGGGCTGGGCCTGGCCAGGTAGCTCCTAGGATACCCCAGATTCAGCCTGGCAGAGTGAGTGCCCCTCAGGTCTGCTCACTCAGGGGCACAGGTCTGACAGCCCCCCTCCCCCCAGCTCTGCAAACTTGGCTCCTACCAGTCAGCCTAATGCATGAGCTCAGGCAGCCTGCTGTGCTAGGGATGGGGTCACCAAAGGGAGGCCGCAGGACATGCAGCCTAGCTAATTTTAATAGTGAGACTGCAGGCTTGGCCGGGCCTCAGCAGAGGGTGGGAATCAGGTATAAATCATCACGGTGGCTCCTCGTGGGGGCCAGCCCGGCGCCCGCCCGGACATGGAGCCCAGGCAGCCCCCGCGGCGCCTCCAGTCTTCCTCGTCTGCACCCCTCGGGAAGGCCCTGAGCACGGCTCTCTTGGCTGTGAGCAGGGAGTTTCTGCTTGTGTGCGGTTAGGGTTGTGACAGCGATTAACCCTCCAGTGACTTGGCCCCAGTGTCTGGCACGGATGGAGGTTGTGACACCCACGGCTGGGGCGGGCCCCTGAAGTGTGTCAAGGTTACCGTCCTTGGGCTAGGCTGCTGGTGGGCACAAGCTGGGCCTGCCCAACTCCTGGGCTCCTCCCACCTCTAGCCCGCAGGCTGCCCGGATGGATGGATGCCACACGGGGAAGCACATTACAGAGACGGGGCGGTGCCTCCCGCCCTCCCTCCAGCCACCTCAAGGCTATCTGGAACACCTCGAAACTTCTCTCAAACTTAAGCCCTGCCCCCTGGATACTGCTTGGGAACACACGGTGGACAGGCCAGGCTGGGGAGGATGCCCACAGCCCCTAGCCAGCCTGTGTCTCCTGCCTCATCCCTCCTGTAGGGGACAGGCAGCCAGACCAGGGTGGCAGCAGACAGGGCCACAGCTGCTCCTCCTATCCCGTACTTCTCCTGGCTGGGCCCTCCCCTCCAGCCACACCTCCTGTGCCGGGGCCTCTGTTTAGGTACTTTCTCCAGGAAGTCCTCTTGGACTGCCCCGTCCTGGGCTGTCAGACCTCCACAGCACAGCAGGCTGGTAGGGCTGCAGCCTGAGGGTGGGGCTGTGTCCCACTCCAAGCCTGGTACCCAGCATGCACTCGGGAAACGCAAATGACGGGAGACCACAGCTTCCAGCAGCCAGGTGTGACCCCACCCACTCTTCTGTGCTCAGACAGCAGGCTGGGCAAGGTGGACTTGGGGTTCATGAAGCCATTTGGCTCAGAGAGATTAGAGACCCAGTGCCCAGACCCTGCATGGGTCCAGAGCAGCCTCAGGTACAGGCCAGTCTCCTGGGCCCACCTGGGCTCTGCAGGTAACACTCTGGCTGCTGGGTGCGGAGCCTGCCTTGGTGGGGTGGGGGAGTGAGGGGGAATGGGGGGCAGGGAGCTCTGGCTTCAGCAGCATCCATCATAGCCACGAGGCTTCCTGCCCAGACTGTGACAGCCCCAAGGGCTCCCAGGGCTCCCAGGCCTCAGCCAAGCTGGGAAGGCAGTGGAGGGTCCCATGTGCTAGAAGCCCAGTCCAGAGCCACTTCCAGACAAAGAGCTCACTTCATCTGTGGACAGTGGTCCTGAGGGGCAGCTGACATAAGGAGCCAGGCCTAGGGGTTCAGGAGAGAAGACTCAGGGCACGGGTCCCAGGGCAGGTCCGTGGGTTGCAGGGAGCTTCCTGGCAGGCCAAGCTGGCGTGGGGTTGAAGACCTCCAGCCCAGCCCACCCTACACCCTGTCTCCTGCCAGGATCTTGGGGACCCACTTATCCTGCAGGAGGACAGGGAGGGGCATCTGTTCAAGCTGCAGGCGCCTCGATGGTGAGGAAAGTTCCCCTACACACCCTGGCAGAGCACCCCGAGGGAAGACTAGGAGCCAGGGAACTTGCCCACAGTCCTGCAACTTGCAAAAGAGGTGGACACAGGGCCTGAAATGGCCCTTCCTGTCCCGGCTCCTGCCACAGAGGGCACCATGGTGAGGGGGACACTAGGTCCCTGCATAGCTGCCTGCCCCACCTCCTGTACTCCTCACCATCCCTAAGGACAAGAGCCAAGGGGAAGTCCAGCTATTTGGTCTCGCCTCTACCTGCCCCCAGTCTGGGAGGGAGGCAAAGACAGGAAACGGCCACAGAAGATAGCACTGGGTCTTCTGATGTGGCACTGCCCTGTGTCCCTCCCTCACCAGGCCATCCCAGGTGGGGGCCCTTAGGCCCATTCTGGGGGCCCCTCCTGGCTCCACGCTAGCAACGCTACCTGCCATGAGTGGCCAGGACCCTGATGCCAAGGACGAGCCAGGAGTGCTGGGCATTGCACAAAACCGCATGGGCTGTGCAGAGTAAAGAGGTGTCACTCATGCTGCATGTGACAAGAATGGTGGCTCCAGGGGTGGAGGCTCTAGGGAGAGCAAGGGAAGAGGGATGGAGGGGAGGAAAGGGGAGGGCCCAGTGCTCAAGGCATGGGGAGCGCTGAGGGGGATGTGTTGGGTGCTGGGAAGTGGGAGGTGACTCTACAAGAGCCTTGGGTGCAGAGTGTAGGAACTTCAATGGGGGCAGGACAGGGCCAGGGATGGCCACACCACTGCTGCTCTCTCAGACATCTGGCGCTCCCCACCCCTCCTGAGCAGGACCTTCCCAGCGTCCCTCATGGTGGCTGGGAGCTCTGGTGCCATGGAGACAGGGCGGCCAGTATGAGGTAGACCGCTTGCCCTGACACCCCCTGCAGCTGTGGTGACCTTGGATTCCACCTGGCCAGAAGCCAGAGTCCATGGGAGGCAGTCGCCCAGGTGCACCCTCCTGTGCAGTGGTGAGCTCAGCCCTTCTTCCCTGGCTCACAGTCAGTGAGGACTGCCCCTCCTCCCCCCCAGCCCAGCCAGCTGCATTCCTCAATGCCCCCGGGGCTGTATCAGTGGGTCCCTGTGTATGCTGGTCACTCATTTCTTCTCTCCTCTGGGCATCATTGTATGATTTCCTGCTTGTCTTTATTTACTCTTCCCTGGAAGGTCACAGGAAGCAGCCAGGCAGTCTCTGTGGGGTGTTTGTCTTGGCCCACCACTGGACCCACAAACCAGGGACATTTCCGCTGGGACGGGCAGGGGGCAGTCCTAGTCACAGCCACCTCAATGCTATGGGAGGCTATCTGTCCCATCTGGAGAGCAGCTCTGTGGGTACAGAACTCCACATCCCCAGGCCAGGCTATAACTGTGTGACCAGAGGGAGCCCGGCTCTGTCTTTGGCAATACTCAGTGTGCCACACTCTGTACGGGGCACTGCTGGGAACGGGGCACTGCTGGGAACGCTATTCCACCCCCAACACGCACACAGGGCACTCCCAAGGCCTTGACACAGGCTCCTCGGGGCTGGCTCTGTGCAGGGCACACAAACCCAGAGGCGGGGGAGAGTAGAACTTGGAAACAATTCATTTGAGCTTGGTAGGCTCACTCCAGCCACCACCCCTGGATGGGCCTGAAGCCTAAGGCTAACCCAGGAGTCGGCATGGCCAGTCAGCCCCACAGGACTGGGGAGCAGGTGGGTGCTGACACCCAGCCCCAGGCCTTTCTCTCTGGCCTGTGAGCCAGCCCTTCTGGACAGAACTGAGGTTCCTGAGTGGGGCCACTGTGCTGGCCAGGCCACCAACTGTGGAGGTGCCACCCAGGCCCTGCCCAAGCCTCAACAGACTTTCCTGTGGCCAGGGCTCAGCCACCCTCAGGCTCAGGCACAGGGCAAGGGGTAAAAAGCTCCTCAGACTAAAACCTGGAGTGCCAAGCAGGCGGCCAGGGAGACAGCACCATTTTCCCATATCCTGACTCGTGAACTTCCCACAAACTTGTGTCTGAGCCCTACGCCAGGGTGGGCTGTGACAGACAATCATAAACCTTCTTTCCTGCGGCATGATGGCAGGCTGGGATTCATGCAATCTGCTCCACACTGAGATGCTCCACACCGAGATGCTGACCAGGCCCCGGGCCTCTTACAGACAGCAGCAAGCTCTGCTTCCACTACTGGGAGCATCAGCCCTTTCCAGCCGGACACCTTCATTTCATTACTGACGGTGGATGTTTGAAGATATCACACGAGGTTAACAGTGACACAGTTGGCTGAGGTGTGCAATGACACTGACACCTGCAGAGAATGGCTTGGTGAGGTCAGCACTGCATAGCTGGGTGGCAGAGGCCTCCCCCCTCAGTTCTTGGTGGAGGGGCTGTGCTTACAGATCTGGGAGAAGACACCCTGCCCCACCTTCCCAGACAACCTTCTGCCTCTGCAATAGTGATTATTTAAATGAGGACCATATTCAAAATGCCCATGCTACGAGGAGAGGATGAGACCCACTGCCAGGTGATCGCTCCATGGACAGGTCAAAAAAATAACAAGGGACACAGTGCATGTGGTCCCCAACTCCGTGTCCCTTTGTCATTGCAGACTTCAAAAGTGCATGCACATCCACATTTGTTTGGGGTTGCTTTTTGTGGAACTGGGGTTTGAACTCAGGGTCTCACATTTGCTGGGCAGGCAGGCGCCCTACCTCTCGAGCCATGCCACCAGCCCGCGAATCCAGGTTCGTACTCCTTTCTCTTATGCAAGGGGTCACCCTGTGAGGGTCTGTCTACTGTGGCAGCATGTCTCAGCGTAAGGTCCTGTTCCCTTCTGCAGCCGTGACCAAGATTAGCCATCAGCACTGTCATCCTTCAGGAGTGCGTTTACTCTTAGGATTTCCTTCTCCATCTCTTTGGGTCATGTCTGAGTTCCTGTCCTTGGACCCCCCCGTCCCTCCAGGCCTAGTCCTAGGGCTTTGGTGCTGGAGTCTGACCCCAGTACCTTCCTCATGGCGCCTTAGCCCCTGGGGAATCTCGGGACTGGAATGGGGGCTGTGCAGAAAGTCCCGCTCATGTTGCACCTCCTCTGAAAATAACTGATGCTGAGGTCCCCTCCGAACCAGCACTTGGCTCCTCAATCATGGCTGTCACCCCAGCCATGGGCCACGGGGCCACGGGCTCAGCAGCCAAATGCTGACCCAGCAAGTTCTGGGTCACGAGAGGCCACATCCGGGGATGTTACCGTTCTGGAGCTCAGGACCTTCTTTTTTATCAAGGCTCTGTGGAGCCACCACAGTCCCTCACTTGGGAACTCCATGTCAGCCAGGGCCCCAGAGGGCCTCCATGCCTCTGCTCACCATCCGCAGAACACGAAGAAACACTTGACTATGGCCAGCTCTCTGCTAGCCCGTAACGAAAGGGCAGATGCCAGTGACCAGCTGTGCCTTCCCTGGCATGGCCCCTGCTTTGGGACAGGGCAGGGAAACTATTCCAGCCAGTTGGGACGGAAGTGAGCAAAGGGCTGGAGCGAGGCACACAACCAGCAGGCAGCTGGGCCAGGCCTGGGGCTCTCTGGGGAGGAACCTGCATCCTGGACCCCAAAACCTCACCTTGGGGCTCCACAGTGCTGCCTCTTCTATGCCAGTGAACCCCACATGGCTTGTGGAGGATGCCTGAGCCTCCCTACCCAGGGAGGCCGATGGGCTGCCTCAGGAGCCAGCCGGGCCAGGAAAGCAGTGAGCAACATTGAAGGAAGGAGTGGGTGACCTGAGCCAGCACCAGGTTCTCGCTACCCTCCACCCTGTGCGGGCGTCAAGTGGAAGAGCACTGGAGCCCATACGACTAGCACAGAACCTGGCCCCATGATTCCAGGCAGGAGCTCCCTCCTGTAGGGAATCCTAAACCACTGAGCATCTCAGCTCTGGCCACGCCTCACTTCCTTTTCTCCCTCTATGGATTTTGACAGCACCCAATGGCCTCGCCTGGCTAGCACCATTCTGGTGCTTACAATCAAAAGTAAAATCCAGTGCCTCAGTGGACTGGGCACACCTGGGGTTGTGTGAGCGAGTCACCACTGCAGGACCAGTCGAGAATTAGGTTTGGCCAGTGGTGCCCAAGAGCCTGTGTCTCCAGAGGGCTTGTCCTGGGGGCAATTGGCAACTGGCACACAGTAGCCATGCTCAGGCTGTAAGGAATCCAGACTGCAGGGTGGGCTATTCTGAAGCCTGGAGGGCTGGAAGCATGTCCCCATGCTGGACCCCACCTCTCAGCACCATGGAGGGCTGGGGGCTCACCAGAATACAGTGTGGCCTTGTCACCACTTTATGGGGATGGTACCTGAATGTCCCAGAGGCAGGCCAGAAGTCAGCCTTACTGGGGTGGCGGGGGAGATCCTGCTTCCCCCCCAGAGGACCACTGCTACTAGGCACGACCACCATGCAGAGGACATCAGGGCAGGCTGCTTGGTCTCTGCAGGCTGTCTGGAGTGTGTAGGGAAGACCAGCAGAGGCTGGACACTGAAGGCTGGGGACAGGCAGAGCAGGCTCCTGGCTGCCAACATGGCCTGCTGGGAGAGGGAACGCTGGGCCCAGGCATAGACTCAACACCACCACAGCGGCAGCGATGGTGACCATGACAGATGATCAAGGTGCCTGGCAGCGTTGAGACACTTTGTACCTTAGATCGATCCCTAAGGGCTGGGGCTTCCCCATGTATAGACGAGAAAATAGCCAGCCAGGGGAAAAGCATTCTGCTCGAGGGCACTGAACCACCGAGTGAGGCTAGAATCCTCTCCAGAGTCTAACTTGATGCCAGTGTCCAAGGCTGGCCAGGGGACATGCTGACCTCCCAATGACCAGTGTGGGCGAAGAGATGTGCAGCGAGAAGAGGCCAGAAGGGACACTAGGTATGACGGAAGGCTGAGCTACTTGGCCCCAGGCTCTGTTCCTGATTGGCGGTCAGACCTGTGTCCTAGGAGTGGCCCTGGTAACTTGAGGCCATCAGGAATCTCACTGGTCAAGTACAAGGGTAGATGCCAACCCCAGAATGCAGGACCCACTTCCTGTGGTGTCTGCCACACAGTGCCCACCTCCCTGTGCCAGGTGGGTCCTCAGCAGGCCCCACTTGCCCACCCCTCACCTCACCTGGTTTCATGGCACTCATGACCGCTCGGCAGCTGCGCAGCACTGCCTCATAGATGGCCCTTTGGTCCTTCGTGAATTTGCCATTGGCAGGAAAGGAGCAGGTGATGTCTGAAGCAAAGCAGTAATACTCTCCGCCCATGTCGAACAGGCTGCGGGAGAGGGAGTGTGAGCTGGAGGATCTTGGGGGGTGTTGCCACTCCTCTCCTCCCCCCGCTGCTCCTATTGGTCTCCTCCCCAGACCTGAGGGCAGCTTGCCTTGGTTTGGATGTGGCAGGGAGCTGAGGCCACCCCGTCTGGAAGTGTGAGAAGGGCAAGCAGCTCTACCTGGTGTTTCCCAGTGGGGTATGAGCAGCATAGAAACCCAGAACTATCCTGACAGCGGTCTATCTGTCCCCAGGAATGGAAGTGATGCAGAGGGCTGTAGGGAGGAGAGTGAGGTCACCCTCCCTGGTCTGGCCTCAGCAGGTCCTCTGGTAGGACCTTACTTGCAGAATAGGAGGGATAGATATGTGCCACCTGCCTCTATATAAGTGAGCTAACAGACACCCCCAGGTCTGCCATGTACCCAGGGAGGTTGAGGCAATGCTCCTGGGGACAGGGGAGGATGAAGAAGCTGTAAGGGGTCTGCGGATGGACACAACACACATCTCTCCAGCTGAGGATGGGGGATGACCCGCAACACCTGCTTCCCACAGGCCCAGAGCACTTGGGTGGAACCCTAGACAGCTGGTGCTTCTGGTGCTACTCCAGCTCAGGTGTTCCCTGCCTTGAAGAAAGCCCTATACCATGATCTCCCTGCTGAGGTGGGGCAGACTTGTCCCTGAGGGTGGCCTCAGGCCCAGCAGGGCTTTGCCAAGGTCCAAATGATGCTGCCACCTGACCCCCCACCACCCTGTGTGCTGGGTGGCCCTGCACCCCCGCAGGAGCTAAGCCAGGCACAGACAGTGTGGAATATGGAAAGCTGTGCACTAGGGAGGACAGGAGAGGCCCAGCAGAGGCAGGACCATGGTGGAAGACGGCCAGGCCTGCTGAGTCAGGATGGTGGCTGAGCCACCCTTGTGTACATCCCATGATGGGGCCCCCAGCACAGCAGGACCTGGAAGGAGTAGAAATGGCCCTTGTAGAGATGGCCCTTGCTGCACAAAGGGCAAGAGGGCTTTCTGGTCAAGGGCAGGTAAGAATTGTGCCCTGCGAACCCTTAGGTAGAGTGAGACAGGACATATGAAGGAATGTTGGGTCCAGGCCTGGCCCTGAGGACTGCAGAGAGTCACCAAAGTGGCCCAGGGGGAGACCTGGGTAGACACAAGGGGGTGTACAGGTGGGGCACCCCTTTCCATCCTGTCCCACCTGAGCACCTAAAGGCTGACACCGAGTGGGGACCAAGTAGCCTACTCAGCTCTTTCATGGGGTCATGGCCAAGTCACAACACTGATCCTGATCAAATTGCTGGGGGACAGCAGTCCATCCCTGGAGTCTGGCCTACATTCTCAGGGCCAGGTGACCACAGGGGTGAGTAGAGCTGAGGAAGCGGGAGCAGCCCTCTGTACAGGCTGAGCCCAGCCCTGCTGGCGTCCAACTCCGTCCTGGGCTCCCTATGGGGGGTCCATCTGCAGCCACACACATCCTGACCAATCACAGCAACAGGCACAGCTGTGACTTCCTTTACAAGGACCTCTCACCCAAATCCAACTCTAGTGGTGACCACAGACGTTCCAGAAGCTGCTGTGTGGCCTTTGGGGCAGGGGTGGGACTCTGGCCCTGAGCGTGGAGCAAGAAGTTGGGCCACGTGGCCTGCCAGGCAGCACCAGCTAGCCCATGGCAGGAGAATTTTAAAGGGAAAGCCTGAATGCCCTGGACACTTTGCTGGAATACAAAGTCCTCTGCTGGGCACTTTTTAATCTGTCTTTTCTGATTGCAAAACACCATAAACAGTGTCAACAGTGCAGAAGGTACAGATAACACCTCAGGTGATTCTCAGGGTGGGACCAAGCCTCCACCAGCAGCACAGGGAACTTGGATTGGGTCAAAGTGTCTTGTGGAGGACCCTGTCTGGAGCAGACCCAGGGGGCCTGGGCCTCACTTGAGGGTGACCCGCTCAGCTCAGTTGTATGAGGGTGATGGAACAGGCTCAGAGCAGATGTAGCCAGGAACCTGCTTTCCAGGGCCAGTGGCTGCCCTTGTATTTACTGATGTATGGGGCACGATCCCCTGAGAGCAGGCCCCAGAGGGTGGGGCACATCTGAGCCTGAAATAGAAGGGAAACAGGCTCCGAACAAGGGCCCAACACCACCCTGAGCTGGGGAAGTAGAGTAAATGAGTCAGCAAACCACTTTCTTGTCCTGGCTCTGGCACTTTCAGACCTCAGCTCTCCCATCTTCAAAATGGGAACATGACCCTTGCTGCAGGTTTGTGTCCTGTCATGGCCACAGAGCAGGCAGCAGTGGGGACACAGCTGCATGGGGCCCTGGCTGAGTTTGGTCTGGGAAAACAGAACGTTTTGATTTGGGCTCCCCAGAGTCAACAAAGGAAAATGGTTTGTGGTTTGTTGGTTTAGAACATCCAAGAATGCCCTGGGCAAACAGGACAGAGTCAGGAGTGGGGACACAGATTCCTGAGAGGTGCCACATTGGAGGGTGACCTGTAGCAGCTCTCCTGGGCACAAAGTTCCCAGAAACTGAACTATTCAAATAAACCAAAACAAACCAGGAAGCCTACAAGAGCACACCAAATGGTGGAATCCTCTAGAACAGTACAAAACAAGGCTTGCAGAGCAGATCAGAAGCTGAACCTCCCCTCTTTGATAAAACAGAAAGTCTGGGCTGCTCAGATTCCCTCAGCCAGCCTGGCTTTATCTCCCAGCTTCTAGAAGACTTCAGCTGTGGTTTTTTTTGTGTTTGTTTAAAAGTGTCCACTTTCTGGAAAAGGAAGTATGCACTGAGTCCACCAGCTCTGTCCTGCCCAGGACGGTCGGGCACGGGCTCCAGTCTATTTTCGTGTTTTCAGTTCCCCATCTTTTTCTGCCTCGTTGTCATTTTAAATCTTCCTCAGCTTTTACACATGAGTGATTCAGTTCAAGCCACTTGGAATCCAGAGACAAAAGCCATCACTTTGATAAATCATCTCTCTCCACTCCTGTCTACTGCAACCATCCTCTCAAATGCAAAAACGAGAATTTGGTCATACTTGGCTGGGGTGAAAATGCAGGATCCCTCCTTCCTGGCTGCCTGGGGACACCCACGGGGGACACGGCAATTGCTGGCGAGAGAGTGAGTGTGGTGATGTGAGACATCTGGGAGAGATTGCACATCTCCCAGCAAAATGCTGGCGTCTCCTTCCTCACATGTGTTCCTATGGCTGTGTTTCTGGCTGAGATGAGAGGTTCTGTCTTCCGCTGGCTCTTCCCGGGCAGCTTTAGGCCTGGGCTACCTGCCACCATTGGCCCACCCAAACCCTCCCTGGGCCCCTGTCAACTCCCTTGGCCCCCCTGCAGGGACCGGCCAGCCCAAGGGCAGAAGACCTCAGAGGGAAACGCTGCAATGTTTACACAAGGGCTACTTTGTACTCAGATTGTGGCTTTATTTTAACCTCCTGCATATGTAGTACAGTTCAGCTACTTCTCACCCAGGACTCACGCCTCACACACGTGCGTGTTCAGCACGGCACACTCACTTTGTACAGACACCCCAGTTTGCACCTCAAGGCCGGGCTGGGCTTTCTGAGCAGCAGGAAGCTCACACTTTCCCCAGACCTCAGCAGGAGGCAGAAAGGAAGGCACCCAGATCACTTCTGCATATCTGCCACAGCAGGCAGCCCTGCTTGTGAACGCTGGTCCCCAGTGCAAGGACTGTCAGCTCCCTGCCAGGCCTTCTGTGTAGTACTGGCCTCCAGGTGTGGCCAGTAGGAACAAAGGCTATCACTGAGGTCCTTAAGACTCCCCAGGGCCACAGGCTGACCACCTCCTTACAGGGCCTGGGTAGATGGGAACAGTGCCCGCGCCAGCAACAGCTTCCTGTCCCCAGGCCCCAGGGCCAGCAATCCCTGTGTGCACGATGATGGGAACAGCACGTGCTGGGGCCCTCTTGTGTCTGGACAGAGTTAGCATTGCCATTCTACATGGACAAACGTCCAGCAACAGCGTTGGGCCAAGGGTCCAGGAAGAGCACCACACCCAGCTGCTACCGCCCCACCCAGAGGGCTTGTTGCCTCAAAGGCACTGTGGCCTGGGGTGGAGCCTCAGGGCAGTGGCCACTGTGGGTGGGGGGAGGCAGGCAGTGACCATTAGGCACACAGCATGTGCTTCATTTCACTTTTCTGGTGACCAGTGTCTTGTGATGTCTGTGAGCACCCAGGCTGTCTAGTCTAGTGCTTTTCTAACTGTGGGTTGTGACATCAATCGAGCAGCCATGAAACACTGACTAACTCTAAGGAGGAGAGAAAACTCACAGGGAGGCGTCCGGGAGGAACCAGGGCATATCTCTGAGTGTGAGCTCTGGTTAGAATGTCAAGGGTGCTTTGAACCGAGATGGGACGTTGAAGACCATGGTCAACTTGTCTGGACAAACAGCTGACCAGGGCCTGTGCCCACCAAGAGTTCTTTTGCCCAAAGAACTAGCATTTCCTTAAGACTACAAAATGCTCAGGTGACAATCAAGGGTCCCTCTGGGTTGGGGGAGGGGGTCTGGCAGCAGGGAATAGGCCCTGGAGTGACATCAAGGTACTAGGCACCAAGTAAAGTGGGGCTGGGGAGCTCCTTGCTACAGCCCCAGGCATGGAGTCACCCTTTTGGGGACCACAGCACACAGACACCCAGGCAACCAGAGGTAGGGAGAATTGTCCAATCCTAGTCTTCAGGGACCCAGAAATGCTGAGGGGCTGCTGAAGCCCTGGGGAAGTAGGCACCCAGCCTGCAGGGGTAGGGTCAGCACATCTGAGCAGCGATGGCCCTGCAGAAGGGGCTCTGGGGCCACCCCAGCTCATAGGCGTGGCCTGCGTGTGTGTGGGGTCAGCACTGTCCTGGGATGTAATCACGAGAAAGTCAGGCTTTGGTCAAGGCAAGCAGTTGCTCCACCTCTGCTGGTCAGACAGGTAAGGTGCCAGGTAGAGGAGAGGGAGGGGCCACTGGCAAGCTGTGGGAGTGTGGGGCTGGGATAGACCAATCCTCCCAGGCAGGGCTGCAGGCCCTCCTCCCACACCCCAGGGCAACATGGACCACTACAGGAGAGGCCTGGTCTATGTCCTGAGGCAGCACTGCCCTCTTCTGGCCAATGCTGGAATCGGCTCACCCCCCACCAGCCACAACCTGCCTACAGGTTGGGCTGCTCTGCTTCCCAGTGGATTTGGACAAGGGTGACGATACTCCCTGGTGGCTCAGGCACAGCTTGATAGCCCCTGGAGTTTCCATGGGCCCATGGGCTTTGATGTCCCCAGCCCTGGATGGCTTTGGGAGGAAGAGGCAGAGCACAAGGGCTCAAAGACAAGCTGGCAGAGGTGTACGTCCTAGCCACAGCTGCGCCCACACTCTCTGCCTGGGCAGGATGCAGTGAGGACGGTCTCCTGGGGCCTCTCCCTGGAGAAGAGCCTCCAGTGACCTTGTCAGGCTCCATCCTTTGTACAAACATGTTGAAAGCATTTATTACCAAGAGTGCTACACTTGGGAACCCTGTTTTAGAAGCCCTGCTTGCTTGCCTGAACAAAAAAGACAACAAAAGGCAGCCAATGGTCCCTTTAGGAGGGTGACCTGTTGGCAGGGTTCATGGGCAACTCCAGGACACAGAGGAAGGGCTCTGGGAACCCAGAGGAAAGCTCCAGGGGGCTTCACAGCTGCAGGCCCTACACAAGGGCTCACAGCTCTGACCTAGTGGAGGGGAGGACCCCAGGGCTTTGAGCCATACCACGTCCTATCCCTCTACTGGAATCCTGCAGAAACAGGGAGGGAGCCGGGGCTGAGGGATGCTCTTCTCAGTTCCTGGATGACAAGCTTGACCTGCAGTATGAACCAGTGCGTCTAAGGTCCAGGCCTCCGTGGCTGAGGACTGTGGCCCACAGAGGCCCCTGCTGGGCTCTAAGGAAGTTCCTACTGCTATGAGGACAGAGGAGGTGGGGACTGGGCACAGCTGACTTCAAGCCCCACCTGGCACCCATACCCAAGAGAACAAGGGTGGGGCTGAAAAAAACCTGGTCTGTAAGCAGATGTGGTGGCTCACCCCTATAATCCCAGGACTTGGAAGCCTGAGGCAGGAGAATCACAAGTTCAAGCCAGCCTAGGCTATCTCAAAAAACAAAACAAAACCAAAAATCTCTTCATAAATAAACCAGGCCCGGCTCGTAGTCTGTTATCAGCCAGGTAACAGACCGCAGGGTCTGGACTGATGAAGACAGCCATCCTGCAACTCTTGCCCACAGTCCCTGAACTCTGCACTTTGCACTTAGTATTTCTGAATGTCCTTGGGGCCGAGTGCTCTATGACACCCAGGAGCAGTGAGCACAGGCTCCGTGTGCGTGCGTGTGTGTGTGTGTGTGTACTGAAGTGTGGAGGATTACCCATGCCTGGGACGTCAGAGAGACAGAGGGAAAGGGCCGTCTGCCCCTCTGCACTCCCCCTCACTGCCACTTCTCGGACCAGCTACCATCCCCAAAGAGCCCTGCTACTAACAGTTACAATATCTCTGAGGCATTTTTTACCCAATGTCAAAGGCTCAGACCCCAAGCCCACCACTGTGACGTGTGCCACGAGTCACTCAGTGTTGGGAACAACTCCCTGCTATGCCTGTGTTCTGGTTTCGTACCTTTTGGTGAAGTACTGTGGCTTTTATGTTGGGATAACAGAGTGATTTATTATTTACCGAACGCGGCAGGCGCTCAGCAGATCAATTTCAATGAAACAATAGATTGTAAATGCCGCCAGCAATCTGGCAGTAGCAGTAATCAACAAAACATGTTGTTCTAAATGCTGCATAATAAATTGACTGTAATAAACTCATAATTATTCTACTGGCTACATTTCAAAGTTAGCAGTAGAAGAACAAAATCACCAATTTGGGCCTGGCATGAGCATCCATGGGTTTCCTTGGATCTCTCCTGCTTACTGCTGTACTGGAAGACACAGGTGCCACAAGCTGCTCACGAGACCATGGCGTGTGGAGGCCTGATGTGCACAGCCTGTGCCCCATCTCTCCAGGGTCCCCATGAGTATAGCTGGGACTGGCCTCTAACGGGGTGAGGACCCCCTCTAGGGCAGGTAAAGGACAGGAGAAGTGACCTGGGGTGCACTGAGCTCATGGAGACAAACTCTGGCCACATGCTGTGGTATGGAGCCCTCGTCAGCTAGAGCTTCCCTAGGACAGCAGGGACCTGGTATGGTTAGCTCTGCCCTGTCCTGGGTCAGTCAGAATGGACCACAAGATCAAAGAGCATCAGAACCACTTTCAGGAGATGATGGTCTCTACAGAGACCACAGCTGGTCCCTCTGGGGCCCCCAGGGGCTTGGCCATTGCCAGGAGGGGGCCCTTCTCCTTCCCTGGTTTCCAGCTGAGCCATATCTAAAGCAGCCAATCTTCTGCCCAAATTCCTTGGGCCCCACCCTGAGCCCAGCGCCCCTGAACTGTGCCACACCCCGAGGTGAGCCAGGCTCCAGCCAAGCTGAGAGGAGACCATGGCACTATGAGGAAGGAGCAGTGTTCTGCAGACCTTGGCATCAGCCAAGGATAAAAAGGCATGCACGACCCGGGCAAAGCAGGAGACTCCTTTCTGCTAGTCAGTGACCACAGCAAGGTCAAGGGTGGCCTAGGATGGCTTGTGGCTGAACCCAGACCCCAGCACAACTCTCAGCACTCTGGTGTGGCTTAGGTTGGCCCTGGCTAATGAGAGGACAGTGGCGAGGACAGGCTGGGGGCACTGAGTGATGGCGACAGGGCTGCATCTGTGAGTGCCTCCAGACCTCTCCCAAGCAGTGTACTTTACACTCTGTGGCCGGGAGCTGTGAGCAGGATCACGTTCTTGGGGAGGCTGGGGCCTGCTCACACTGCCTTGTCACAGCCTCTGTGAGGGGCTGAGTGTACAGCACCAGTGCTCAGGACTTGCTGAAGCCATGGGTGGGTATGCCAAGAGGCTGTGGCTGAAGCTGGCAGGCTTCATGATGTGTGGGGCCTCTGGGCACCAAGACCCAGGGCTGGAAGTACAGAGCTCACTGGATAGAGAGGACAGCCTGGCAGAGGCTGGGGGACAGAAAGCCCACCATCCATGGCACCACAGGAAACAACAAGGGCCCCGCCTGCAACCCCCCACATGGTGCTTACTTGCAGGATGCAGGATTTGGCTCTGGAGAAGGCACTGAGCAGGCCAGTGCTCACGGCAGGGAAGTCTGGGCTGAGAGCAGGTCCAGGGCCTTGTTGTGCTCAGCTCTCTTGGGACAAGGACCCACAAGCCCCTGGTTGACTTGATGTCAAGCGTTCAACCTTGGCCAGCTGTTCACACCAGAGCTAGGTTGGGCAGGAGCAGGGCCCATCTCACTTACCACATGTCTCCGTCCTGGATTGTGCGATCATTGGGGGCCCCAGCGTGTCCATAGTGCAGCACAGCCGCGTTCTCACCACTGCAAAGGGTCGGGGAGCATGGTCAAACCCATCCTTAACTCAGCAGACCCTGGGGGCTACAGCCCTACTCCCCTGCCCCAAGGACAGTACAAACAACCCGTCCTCCAGCAGTGGCAAGGGGACAGCTGGACCAGGGCCACAGCCTGGGGTCATGGGACATACGTCCAGCCAGTTACACAGCTAGAGGCAGTTCCTTGGCTCTGGAGTGCCCCCTACAGGGACCTGGCCGTGAGTGCTGCTCAGGCAGCTGCCCTGTGGGCTGTCGATGAAGAACAGGAGAAGGGAGAAGCAGTTCTTAGGCCTGGGGAAGGGATGGGGGAAGCCCTCCCTGCCTGGTGACTGAAGAGGGGCTCTGCGGGATGGGCCCCAGGGGTCTCAGGAGCCACCCTGGAACACTGGCCAGGGCTGAGGGCAGGCAGCCAGTAGCTTGTCACTCCCCTGCTTTCTGGAGCAGCCCCAAAGAGTGATGACTTTAAAAAAAAAAACGACTGCTGAGTCTGTCCAAAGGAGTTAAAAAAAAAAAAATACACCTGGGTGTATATTTATGGCGCCATTCGGGAGTCTCAGGAATCATAAAAGTAGAAATAATGATTTTTCTCTCTATCCACCAGAGAAGAACATTTCCAAGGACTGAGATGGCCCCATGTATTATTCATGAGTGAGAACGTGCACACGCCCAGCCAGTATTGACCAGTGTAGAGAAGCAGAGCCTGGCAGAGCACTGAGCCACTCGCTGGGGTGAGCTCCAGGGACAAGGGGGCCATTCACAACCAGGAGGCCCCTGTGCAGTCATACCCAGAGTGTCACGCACAGCCGGGCATGCTCACAGCCGTGCACATGCCTGGAGACTGCAGCAGCACATATGCGTGGCTGCCGGCTACCTGTGTGTTCATGGTCATTTCTACCCTGCTGACACCTCAAGCGCACCCAGACGTGTGCAGTCAGCACACTCAGAGCTGCATACATTCACATAAAGCCCTGCAGCCACGGTGCGCCACAGAGACATCTACAGTGACAACTCCCGCCCCTCCCCCTGGCTATAACACATTTCATCTGTAGCTACACCAAGAGCTCCATACACCTCCACACAGGGACACACAACCACAGCCACCACAGTGTCCAAAATCCTGGGCTCCCAGGAGGGGTCAGGATGGCAGGTAAGCCCTTCTGTAGCGAGCAGGCTGGGCTCCCTGGCATGCAGAGGCAACCTGGTTCCACCTCAGGCAAGAGTGACTTCCAGGCTCAGAGGCTCAGAGGGCCAGGCACTGGTGTGGGTGTGTGAGCAAGCCAGTGCCACTAAGCTGGTGGCCGGAACCCTGCTCCTCCCATCCATGAGACCCAGAAGCACTTACCTACAACAGATGCAGGTGTAAGAGGTGTGACGCATGCCACCTCGGGAGTAGCAATAGTGCTGGAACAGGCTGCAGGGGGAGAGATAAGTTGAGGTGGGGGGTGGGTTCCTGGAGTTGGAATGTGCATTACTCCCATCTCCAAGTGAAATCCTTGGCCCACACCTGGTCTGTAGTGCCCCAGCAGGCCCAAGTCCCCCAGTGTTGAGTGTGAACCCAGGTCCAGTCCCAGGCCATGGAACGTCAGAGGTCAGTGTGCAGCAAGGGAGGATGTAGGGTCCAGTCCTAGGCCAGAGAGCTCACCAGCATGGCTGCCCAGAGCTGCTCTGACACCTAGGTTCATCAGGAGGACAGATGGCCTGCTGGAGCTCTGGCAAGGGACACACATTTCTGCAGGGCTGGAGGGTCTCCCGGTGACTGTAGCTAGGGGCCACACCCACCCCATTGGGAGGGGCTGGACGCATGGCTGTGGAGTATGACCCCTTCCACCCCAGTGCTGCCTAGGACAGGGGCAAGGGGCCAGCCCCTGTAGACAGAGCAGGGCAGTCTCCAGGGAGGAGGGAGGTTGGTCTGGGGACCAGACCTTGCTTCCTCTGCCTGGAAAAGCCATAAACCTACTGGACTTGGACACACCCCTCCCCTGCCCAGTAGGCAGCCAGCAGCAAGGTCTATAGGGACAGACAGGAACCAAGCTGATCCCCAGGCTTGGCCCCGGTCCTCAGGTACACCAGATGCCCAGCCTCTGCAGAACCCAGCTTGTGAGATGACAATGATAGGGAGCTGCTCTCAGCCTCCCTGAGGCCTGGGTGACCCCCACCTCACCCACCCAGCGCCAGGGCAGTCATCTGCAGAACACCAAAGGCAGCCGTGGGCACGCCAAGTGGCGCGCCTGCTGCCCTGCACGTTCTAGGCCGGCTTTGGAGAACTGTCTGTGTGGAGGAGTTTAATCTTCCTGGCACTGTAAACACAAATTATGTATAATTGCTGTGATTGGATATTAAGTAGTTGTTATGCAGAAACGGTTCTGCCAGATTCAATTGGCTTTCAGACGTGCCTTACAAACCTTCCTGGATAATTGGGTGTCTGCGAGTGAAATATTTCTTCAACGCAAAGGATTTCAGGAGCTGCCAGCAGGTGGAGAGCCACCTACTCCCCTCCTGAGCCACTCCTGTGTTCATGGCGGGAGTCAGGCAGCTGTGGTCAACTAATGCCTCAGTCCGAAGAGGCCACGGGGATGGTAGGACCCCAGTTGCAGCATGGAGTTCGGCCACAGCGGGCATATTCCCACTGAGGGGGCACTGGCCTCTGCCCCCCACCCCCCGCACAGCCAGCCCTCCTGTACAAAGCCTCCCATGGGCAGCCTTACAATTGTTCGCCTCTCTGCACACGAAGTCCGCAAGCCAAACACGGAGCCACAGTGCCCCCATGATTTTGTCACATGTGACTTTGCCACAACAGGAGGAAACCTTAGGAGTCCACGTGGCCACACTCAAGGTGATGGGGACAGTGAGCCTCTGCTGAAACAGGTGAGCTGCAGATGACCACAGGCTGCCCTGGGATCAGCTGGCTTCAGAAAGGACAGGCAGGGGCACAGTGTATACAGATGACAGATGGGGTGAGTGTGGCGCCCTGGTCTGCAGCACACGTCTCTGCTGTATAATCCTCTCGGTAGGACAACCTCCCTTGTGCCCCTGGCGTGTATGGAAGAGAAAAGCACTTCATAGAGCAACACATGGCTTACAGAAGAATGTAACTATGGCAAAGCTGACCCAGTTCTCACCCACATACTGCCGCTAGACACTGGTCATTTCCCCAGCTGCATGGACAGTTCACACACCCACAAAACCAGAGCTGGAGGGTAAGCGGCCACACGCAGATAATCCACTCTGGCCTGAAGAGTCGATGTTCTTCACACGGGACTAATTGTGTTTTAAACGCTCCCTCCTTCCTTTGTTCTTTCCTTCCTTCCTTCCTTCCCTCCCTTTCTTTTTGCTGGGGACGGAACCCATCTTGCACACGCTAGGCAAGAGCTCTACCACGCGAGCCCTTGGTTTTTGATCTCTCCTGACAGGACACAGTGGCCACGGAGACCTCTTCATAAAGACAACACAGCCAGGCGAGGGGTCTGGCTGGCTCAGCACTGGGGGTTAACTACTGACTGACCCAAGGTCACAGCTGCGTTTAGCTGTGGGCTGCCAGGTATCCCTCAGGAACCATGGCATGTGAGCTGGCAGCAGAGAAGTAGCCAGAGACCCTTTCACCTCTGACATTCAGAGGGGCTGCACAAAATGCAATTAACAGAGCGGAGCTCAAGAGAAAGAAGAGAGACCAGAAAGTCAGACTTGGGGACCTAAAAACCTGACTTTAAGTGACACAGAGGAAGCAGTCTGGAATTAGGACCCCCACCCCCTACACACACAAAGCAGAGGCCTGTGTGGTGATGCACCCATGGAGAAAGGAGGATTTGAAGAAACATCATAGAAACGCAGCAGGCAGCCGGGAGGCCTGCCGGGGCGCCATGCGAACACCAGACACATCTCAGGATTCAGAAGCATGAGTCTGTCCACTACAGGTTTCTGGTTCAAACATGAGTGACCTGCATGGTTTGGAAATTCCAGGGCTGAACATTAACCAAAAAACCTTGATCCTTGACTGTGAGACCTGAATCCTCCAGGAGGAACTGACACAAAGCCAAACTGGGTGGCCCCATCCTCAGCCCGACCACCCAGTGCTACACGTGCATTGCACGTCACACACACACACACACACACACCCCATGCAGTTTCCAGACACAACTGACAGCAGGCTGAGACCCCAAAGAATTACATGTGAGATAATTAATATTGAAAGGGAAGTAAAAAAAAGAACAGGCAAATTTTACGAACAGCCAAAACAAACCTTCTCAAAATGAATATTCTCCATCACAGGACAACAAACAGCAAGCCAGGCAGGGGTGTTGTCATCCCATGACCACCTCCCATCTACCTGCCTTTTCCCTAAGCCTGCGATTGGTACACACGGCAGCAGCACACTCATGCGCTGCCCCAGCTGCTCACCCCTGCTCCCTCCAGTTCAGCTGGAAGAAGGGGTACTGGACCACACTGCCCAGGTCCTTGGCACACCTCTCTCAGCAGCAGACGGGGAGAGATCTGGCCATGTGCCACCAGCCAGCCAGCCTCCCACACCCTCCAACATCCTCGGCTGTGAATTTCTGCCCAAGCGAAGCTGCTTTGTATCCAGGCATAATCAAAAATCCTTAAGTAACCTGGAGAATCTGTACTGTGAATAAGCAGGTGTACGGAGTTACTGCAGTGACGGGGGGGAGGGGGGGCAGGCCCATTTCTCAGTGTCTGGAGATGACGAGTGGAACAGGAACAGCAAATGCCCAGGCCTGCATCTGCAGAAACCATGACTCTTGGGCACGGGGCCCAGCTCCTGCCCTCGGAGGTTTATCATCTAACAAGATAAGCTGCAGCCACATAAAACGCAATTGCCAGAGATAATGGCAAAAGGGCTGCTGCCCTGGGCAGCAGTGTAAGCTGTAAGGTCCGGCAGCTGGGCACCACCAGACGTGGCACTGGTCACATCATTCCCCAGGCTAGGCCTCGATGGACCCAGGGTCCCCATGATATGGAGAGTGGCAGGTGCAGGCACGTGGAAGTGAAGCTGGGCAGCAGTAGTGGAACCTTGCATCTGAGCAGAGGGTTTAGAGGGTGGGCAGTCTGGACATTGCAAGAGCTGGGACTTAGGTGTCCCCTACCTAGTCCCAAACCTGCAGCCCCTTGCTCTAGGCCCTATGCCTCCAGCCTCCTGGGACTCTGCTCAATACTGACTAAGAAGCTAAACTGCAGCTCTACCTACTTGCCAGCCGTGACCCTTTCCTGCGTCAGTTTCCTCATTTATAAGAAGGGGACAAGAACGGCCCCTCCCTTCCATGGCTGCCACACCGAGCAAATGATTTACTTTGCTCACAGCAGGTAGAATAGCTCTTGGCACATGAACACTTGGTACAGGACACGTTAGCTAGTGTTGTCACTGCTTAGAAGCCACAAGGGACCTCCTGCAGGCTGGACAGGAGGTTGTGGACACTGAGCACTTGGCTTTGAGCAACAGTTTCTAGGCTACTCATTGAAACCAAATAGAACTTGATAGACCCATGGCCCAGACACCCAGGGATCTTGCATCATCCAGGTGACCAAGTTCTCCACGGGAGTCCACCAGCCTTTGCACAGGCCACCATGCATCTCCAGGACATTTACCGGGGAGAAGGCAAAATCTTCACACCGGCTCCAGGTCTCATGCACAAGTAAGGGCTTTCTGGGTGACAAGGGGGCCTCAGTCCACTGCCCCCTCACAGCGGCCTCTGCCCTCAGGGACAGCTGGTCCAGGGGTCTGTTCTCCTCTGGATGGACCAGGGCCTTGAGTGTGTTAAAAGAGAGAGGGAAGGGAAGGGCCAAGTGTCTCGCGATGTTTGGAGCCAAACAACAGCGCTCTGTTTAATGGTCTCAGCACTGAGTGACTTTTAGTTCATGGTTTTTTCCATTAATAACTGATATTCCTGGGCCTCAATGACTATAATTACATAATGAATGTGATCTTCCCACTTACTAAAGGAAAATCCTTTTCAGAATAAGAGAAATGCCATCCTGCTCTGAGGTGCATCTCAAAGCCAACAGGAGTCAAAGGCACAGGCATCGGCAGGACGAGCAGAGGCAAAACTTCTGTTCCATGGAACTGTGAGCAATTAACCTTGAATTCCCAGGAGAACGTCAGAAGCTGTTTTGCTGTTCTTCTGAGGTGGTCAGAGGGTTCCTGGCAAAAACTCCCCAATCCTACCCTTGTGATTGCTGCCTGGGAGGTTTCAGTCACCTGTCTGGGCTCTGCCTGGCTCCTTCAGCACATGTTCTCTGTGGACCTTCTGCAGGACAGACACTGGGACAGTGAACCGAGGTACTGCCTGGGCCTCTCCTCCCCTAGTCCCCATGTGAGGACAGATGCAGAGAAGGCTAGGGATGAGGTGATCAAGTGTCTTGGTGTGTCACCAAGAAGGGGCTGGCTTCAAGGCGGATGAA